GTGTGTGGCCAGCTCAGCCCACCAGGGGGCGGGGCTGGCTGGCATGTGGTGCTGGGGGATTGAACCGCAGTCCCTGTGCTTTGCTAAGCTTGTTCTGAGTAGGTGCCTTAGACCACTGAGCCATCTCACCAGCCCCCCAAGACCATTTATTCTGGATTGACAAACAGAATCTTTAATTAAAGATGATTAAGCAAGGATACACCAGGATAATGATAAGGGAATCTGCTTATTGAACACTTCAGAAGAGCCAGTTCTGGTCTAAGTGTGTTAAGTGTATTAGTCCATGACTGAGTGAGGCACAGACAGGTGAGTAAGTGGCCAAAGTCACACAACTCGTAAAGGAAGGCACTGGATTGCAGCCCAGCCTCTAAAGTTTTCATCGCTACTTTATTGTCTGGCTTCTTCAGGCTTGGCTTGACTAAGGGGGCTGGGCAGTGGAGGAGGTATAGATGCAAGAATGAAGCCAGATTATGTATCTGGACCACCTCGGACAGAATTTAGTTGGAAGAGAATGTGAATTTGCTAGGTTCCAGGCAGCAGAGGCTGCTCAGTGGGAGGTGCGCATCAGGTAACTCAGAATCTAAGTAGGGGCCTGAGTGGAGGTGAGGGATTGGGAGTCATGGCTGATGATGTGAGAGGAGCCCAGGCGAGGTACAGGAGGTGTGGTCAGAGAAGACAGAGCTCTCCTTCAAAGCCCTGCCTCGGAAGATGGGGTGCTACAGCTGGCCTTGTGTTTTCAGCTCTCCTACCTTTCTCTGGCCTAGATACTTGCTTCTGGTTCTGATGGATGCCGAAAGAGCCTGGAGCTATGCCATGCAGCTGAAAGAAGAAGCCCGCACTGAACCCCGAAAACGGTTTCACATGCTGTCTCGCCTTCGCAAAGCTGTGAAACATGCAGAGGAGTTGGAACGCTTGTGTGAGAGCAATCGTGTGGATGCCAAGACAAAGTTAGAGGCCCAGGTTAATGTCTTAACATTAAGTTATGCTTTGTTTTTGAGATTAAAATTGTGACTTAAAAAAAAAAACTGCTGCTAAATAAAACAAAAAAAAAGATAAGAAAGGGGAGAAAACACTTTCTCATTTCTCTTTTTTTTAAATGTATTTGGTAAAGGGTCTCACTATGCAGCTTGGACTCATAGTGATCCTCCTGTTTTCAGCCTCCCCAGTGCTAGGATTACAGATAGTTGCCACCACACCCCGTCTCGGTGGCGGGTGCGGCATATGGTGCCAGGCATGAAATCCTGGTCCCTGCACTTGCCAAAGTAGGTACTTAGTCTGCTGAGCTATCTCAGCAGCCCTAAAACTTTTATATCTTACTTTTAAAAAGTAATGTGGGAGGGGGCCTGCCCCTTAGCTCAGTTCTTTAGGGGGCCTGGCCCTAGCTCAGTTCTTTAGGGGGCCTGGCCCTAGCTCAGTTCTTTAAGTGGCTGCTTCCACCAAGCTGTCAGCCTCGGGTGGCTCTAGTTCGATCCCCACAACTCTCCAGCCAGCCAAACAAGCCCTGAGGGCATTCGGAGCAAAAAAAAAAAAAAAACAGTAATGTGGGGACCGGGGAGATGGCTCAGTAGACTAAGCGCTTGTGCAAGGACCTGAGTTTAATCCCCAGTTCTGCCAAAAAAAAAAAAAAGGGAAAATTAGCATATCTTGCTTTTGTTTTTAAGCTGTGAGGTTTTTATAATTATCCAAGAGAGCATATGTTTTTGGTGACTAGCTGGAAAGCTTCTGTTTGTGGCGTTGGCTGTCAAAATTCAGGCCGTTTGCACCAAGTTCCATCTTCAACTCTTTTCCTTTTTATTTTGAGAGAGTCTCCCTAAGTTAATCTGGGCGGGACTCAGACTGCCCTTCTATCTCAGCCCCCAGTGTGCAAGGATAACAGTGTAAGCCATCATACCCAGCTAAGAATTTTTCAGAAATGAAAAATTTTTACAAGATGCTAGCTGGGCAGTAGGGACAAGTAGCTCAGTGTAAGGCTCTGGGGTCAGTCCCAGGACCCCAAAACTCAAAAGGAATGGGATAGATATTGCAAGGTTATAGTCAACTTACTGTTCCAGTATTTGGGAACTGATCCTAGGGCCTCATAAATGCTAAGTAAGTTGTTCTCTACAACGGAACTTCATACATAACCCTTTAAAAAAATTTGGGGCAATATCTTGCTAATGTTTTGATCCTCCTGCCTCAGCCTCCTGAGAACCTAGGATTGCAGGCATAGCCACTGCACCCAGTTTATTATTCATTTATTTATTTATTTATTTTGCGGAACTGGGGATTGAACTTAGACCCTTGCGCTATGCACCCAGTTTATATTCAGCTTCTTTTGGTATTTTGTGTTGTGGTACTAGGGATTAAATCCTGGGCCTTGGCATTGGGCTGTATCTTTTTTTTTCCCCCATACCTGGGATTGAACTCAGGACCCTGCGCTTGCCAGACAAGCAGTTATTCTACTGAGCCCCGGGCCCTAGGCTGTATCATTAGCCCTTTTTAAATTTTGATTTAGGGCTGGAGAGATGGCTCAGTGGTCTAAAGCAGCTACTTGGAACAAGCTTGGCAAAACACAAGGACCGCGGTTCGATCCTTCAGCACCACATGCCAGCCAGCCTCGCCCCCTGGTGGGCTGAGCTGGCCACACACACACACAATAAATAAATGTAATAAAT